TTCATTGGAAAATAAATTTGTGATGTTAATATTCGATTTCCATTTAATTAATAGCTCAATTTTCCAGCGTTTGAAATCATTGCAAATTTCTTCTAAAATGGCAAAATTAGAGAATTGGAATTATTGTCACAAAATAAACAAACCAAATGAAGCCTACCTAATGTGTCTACATATGAAGTTTCATGCATTTGGGCTGGTAGTTCTCAATAGTAAGTCGATAATATCGTGTGTTTTTTTACCAAAAATGACAAAAATCTTCGCTAAAATTATAAAATTGAAATTATCGTCACAAAATTAATAAATCCGATATCAGCCCACCCAAGGTACATATTACGTATCAAAACAATCGGGCTGACCATTCAGAAAAAAAAAACAAGTCGAAACTACAAGTAACAATCACAAACATATTCATAATAAAAAATAAAAAACTATAGATATAAACACCAAATAAATAAATCAGAATGAGGTCATGGATGAAACATTCGAACTGCAATTTACAAGAAGTGACATTATGAAAGTTTGACCCCGGGCTAAAGACGGACGATGTAGAGCAATCAGTCATGAAATACGTTCAGCGTTAACCGACAGCGTAGCTAATAAAACGTCGTAATGATTTGATTGGATGACGCCTCCCGTACACGTACAACAGTATCTAATATTTGGAGGAGGCGTTTGAGTGGACATGTAACCAAAGTTATACATACATCAGCAAATAATAAACGTCTATGCCACTCATCAACTGTATTGGCGAGCTACAACATCCAGTTTGTCGCCCCGGCAACACTATTTACACAGTCTACCAAGGCCTTCCGCAACGGAACATTATGCTTGATATTGAGTCGAAATAGTTTGTCCATCCAGGGGGCTAGTCTAACAATATTCCATATTTTCCATCCTGGGAGGCTATTAAAACAACATCCCATATTTAGTTTAGAGATAACTAATAATTTACCATTGTTCTAAAGTTATACGCAGGTGTGCTAAACGTTCTCGGATGGAAGATCTCTTGCACAATGAAGAATTGTCTAAGCGAATATATGATAGGTGCTTTTTGAGAAATTTATTGTACAATCATGATTGAGACGCAATTTTATTTCGATGGTAGTTATCGTGAAATGATTATAGTCGGCTGCTTTTCATTCGGTTGTGTCGGCTATAGCGAGAAATTTAAGATGGCGGCCGATCTTTGAGAAACGGACTCGGAAATGGTACACCACCAGGTAACCGAACATCGCCAGAAAAAATGCAAAGGCTTTTCTTTCGTGCAGATCCAAGTGTTTCTTTTCTTATCGAATATGTTTCATAATATTAATTATCGAATATATTTCGTAATATTAATTATCGAATATATTTTGTAATATTAATTCTGATTGTTCGGTTACGTGGCAGTTGGTGTGTTCGTGCCTACGTCCAATCACAGGGACTGTGGTCCAATGAAGCACTTGAAAACGGTGTGAATCGATATGACGAACACATTATTTGCATTTACTATTCTTACATTGAGTGGTTGTTACCGGAGTCCTCCTTTAATTCACACCACGTACAAAGATACGTTACATAACACGCTAATTGGGCAAGATAATCGCGTGACGGTTACGTAATCGTCGATTCATGAACTTCAACAGGTGTCTGGGCGCTGTATACAAGGTATTCCGAAGTACTAATACTCGTACTTTGTGTTCTGAGCACCGCCGACCACCCAAATCCCTCACCCCCACCCCTCATGCTTGGCCACATATAGTTGACGTTGCATCGTGATATATTTAATGTTATATTGTGTTATTATGTTACGTTACGTTAAATGTCATGCTGTTATGTACAATGCATGCACACTGAGACGTTCGTCTTTCAATAATTATTCACTGAACATTTTACACGATGGCGTATCTGACTAGTTCGAGATCACTAGTACGTGTAAAAACCAAGTGGTTGTCATAGCAACATAAGCAGTTCACTGAATGCGTGCTCTGCGAGGCACTGGGTAGCAGGGCGGATAAGCACAATTATAAAAATGATATTGCCATTACACCTCCAGCTATCAAAGTATGATTGTAAAAAAGATGTTACTAGGTATGTGTTTCGTTTGGATTTGGATTGGAAGGGAGAAGTCGCATTCTGGTTTTATTCGCCGCGTGTAAGGTGTTTTTTTTTGTCGCACACTAGCATGATTTCGGAGGTACGTACTCTTTAAATAGTGCGCAAGCGTAAATATGTGTATTAGCACGCAAAGTGGCCAATATATGGCAGATTTGAAGAAAATGTAAAATGTGTCATAAAGATATCTTTGTGCTAATTCTCAACAATCTCGAGGGTTAAACTTGGCCATATGCTATAATCAGAATATTTTCTAGCGAATGGGAAGCATGCGCAGTGCTCAGTGATTCATTTCTTGTAAATTGTTTAATATATATTGTGTTTTTCGTTTACCGCATCCTGCAAGCACGAACAATTCTTCGTTTGTAAACATAGCAATCCCATTCACGTGTTTTGTTGTGTTATTTTTCGTGTACACCTGTTAATGATGGTCCCGAGTTGATTGAATTAGCCGCATTGGCAGATAACAGGAACAACACTATTGGTCAACAAACAATGACATAACATCGAAGGACGACATTCTGTTTTCCACTGCGACTTGTATCCAACTGTTTTCCACCCTTTCCAGGGTTTTACGTGGCGCCGACCAGACTTGCAAACGCTTTCAACTGAAAAAATTATTGAAATTCACAAGACGTGAATGTTGTTTATCGGACAACATGTTGCTGTGAATTTCGCTCCATTATGTGACGTCATGGCGTTCTCACGCCCGTCATTGTGAGACCGACAGCACGGTCCAATAAAAAACAATGACGGTGATGTGAAAATAAAAACAGGATATTCCAAAGGGGGCGGAGAAGAATAGATTCTTAGAACATCCAAATTAACGAGAAAGTGAATTTCATGCTGCGATTACGTCGGTTTCCCGCTTCCCAGACTGCTTTTTGTTGATGTCAACGCTCTGAGTCTCAAAACGTCGGACATCTTCTCAAACCTCTACCGCCGCCACTGAACACTGCATCAATAACAAGTTTTAACTCTCCGACAAGCAATATTATTGCAAACGTATAATAAGTTAATTACATAGGAACAAACTAATTGTAAATTAAGCTTCGCGCAAATTGTAAAATCTAACCAGGTACGGCTGCTTACAATGCCACTCGGTAGAAAAAAACATGTAAACAAGCACTTGTTGTATTCATGTAGTTCTTACGTAAAACACGGACACAGTGATTAACCGAAAAGTGGTAAAAAAAACAATTCTATATACTAGTATTTCTAAGGCCGCTTTCACTTGCATGGTTCATGTGTTTTTCCACGAAACTTTAACCACGCGAGATGGTCCTTTTTTCTGTGAAATATCATATTGGGGCTATAATAAATAAGCTTGTCCGTTTTCTGGTTTCATCACAGAAAACAGAGGAAACGTGAATACTACGAGGTATTGAAGACAGAATACAGACGTGCTACGGCGAGCTAATTGGTGACGTATTTTGCGCGGGGAAACTTCCTCTAGATGTGACACAGTTACTGGTCGAGACTGCGAATAACTGTATTTGGAGAATTGGCATATTGTATTATTTTATTTAAACTACAAAATATTGGTTTATCTGTGGAAAAATAGGAACATTATCGGACGGCAATATGGAAGGCGCCACTCGACTGGCACGTGACTTTAGGATTCAATATTTTGCATTGAAAGTGAGCAGTTGGAGTTGTGCAAGTTGGTTTAGTACGACAGAACAACCAGGAGATGTCGAGACATTGGCAGACGCCGTGGCGTATGCAGACACAAGTGAGTTTAGACAGCGCCGTAGTTATGTGTGTGGCAACAGCGGGGGCATAGTTAAAAACACTACCAATACATTAACCAGAGCAAATTGCTATTATGCTCTACGGCAATCACGCTAAATCACGAGAAAAGAAACAACGTACACATACCGTGTATTGATTGGCAGGCGAAGAGTATAACCCATCTTTCGCAACACATCGTCAATTTTGATTAATTTATGAATAAAACAGGTCACGCAAAATCCAATGAGTATTACATTATGTTGTATATCAACGAGTAATGTTATCAAGCGTTTTGTAACAATTCTCCGCAACTTGCTCGTGAGAAACAGACTCTCCGACACTAACTTGGTACGACGACTTTCCCGGTATCAACAATTCAGTCGATGTGTCAAGTCATAGAACTTTCACTAATTTTTGAACAACTGTATTTGTTCGTTGGCAACTTTGTGCGACTTTCATTCATACGCGAAAATGGCTTAACGAGTCGATATTTGAACTGTCAATTACGCCCCAGTCCTTTGAGTTCGTACGGTTTGGCCTAAAGCTAAGGCCACAGCGATAGTGAACGAAATGAATAAGCGCATGGTATATTGAGTTGTAATCAGCGAAACGTATTTTTGTTTTGTTTTTTAACTTTGGCTCTGTTCACCAAAACACCGTGAACTGCTACGTGTAGATTGCTGTAGTAGTTTAGTAAGCTCTTTGCTTAACTGCTCGTTCATATGACGGTTGAACTTTGCTCGCTGCGTTGTGTTATGGCCAGTTGTACGGCGCAATGTATCATTGACACACTTATAATCTAAACAGATCGTTGCAAGTATCGTGGTCTATACCACGATCTTGTCAGCCTATATCGAGTCGGCAGTATATGTGTGTATAGTTTAAATGACACATCCCCCGTTTTCCAACCACGTAGAACACGGAAAGCGCCCGAGATTAAACTGAACTGCAATTTTTACGGGGTGCTCTCAATGTTGTGTACAAGAGGCCGAAGATTTGGGTGAAGATCAAGTCAACTAAATCATGAACTATGTCAACAATATGCAGTGTACTTGTCGAGCGCACGGGTAACTGCATATATAAACGATAGTACACGGTCATCCCATGCACTTGTATGGTTTCGTACATACGGCGTTAAACCGACTCTGTATCTGATATGGCACAGTACTTACCCGTTCGTCGTTGGTCCGCGTAGCCAGAGAGTACGGCAGGGCTCTGTAGTCGTTCTCATCGTCCTCTGGGTAGCCGTTTCGGTCCAAATAATCCCTGTCATAGGCGAGAGGGGACACAGTGTGTGAGTCGGTTAAAAAGACAACTAACGCTAAAACGAGTACACCAATTCTCATGATTAACAACACGGTAACTGATCGGTCACTGGCCGAACATGTACGTCACAATCAAGCAAGCAAGCACGCTGGCTGTTACGACGATAATGCTTTTATACTCCGCTCTATGTATATAATGCTTGGAGTTGAAGTGGAAAAATGCAAGCAGCCCTCAACCAATAAGGCGAGCGTGTAAGTAAAACAAAAAGGCTGGCTATGAAAAGGAACGCCCTAAGTGCGGCTAATGGGAAGGGCGCATACAAAGACGCGCTTAAGATACTTGTCTGTCGGCTCGACTACTCAAACTGAGGCTATGCATACTGTCGTAAACGGGGTGTAGCAACCAGTCCACGACAAGTTGGTCATCTCAATGCTTCATGATAATATCCCAAAAGCGCATCAACTTTACTCATAACTGACTTCCCCCTTGAACAAATACACTCACCCATTTTTATTGGAGCTTCTGCAAACATTTTAATAGCTCAACAAAGGAAGACCCGTATGTATTCAATTCGGTTCTTCGTCGAGTTACGAACTTGTCCGAAATATATTGTTTCTTTGGCAAGTAGATGGTGTCGAAAGGTACTCGTTAAAAAAAGAAAAGTGCAGTTATTGGAGAAAGGGCCAACTGTAGGGTCCACAGGTTCGCACTAGTGGCATGCTTACAATCAATTTGAAGACATATAACGAAGCCATTCGGGAGAGCTCACACATTCTCCCATGTACTTGTCAAGGATTTCCGCGTTTTACATTTTAACACTCGGGTTTTAAAATCTGGCTTCAAGGTGCTTCAACGTAAAACACTCAGTGTCTACGAATACGGTTTGTTTTTTACTGGCTACGTGAATTGAATAGGGGGTCCTTCCAATAGGAGGTGCGAACGGATTCGCTAATTACTAGTCTTCTTTGTGTTTGCATTCACGCTACACCAATAGCGTGACCGTGACTTTTCGTCAGTGCACTCACCCGCAACTATGCTAAGCACATATCTCGCGTGTTTTTTTGCGTAAAACGACAAAATAATAGGAAATAACTGTTCGCGTTTTCTATCGAAGAGCACCATTTGGCTTCTGATTTTCACTTTCCATTTTCATCAGTATCTTTGCAGGTATTCTTTATGGAACGTTTTTTTTTTCTTATTCTATTCGCTAATTTAACCGAATTTCAGAATTTAATAATCAATCATTACCGAATTCGGGAAGCGCACAGCTCATACCTCAAAGGACCAAACACAAGTACAATTTTTTTCACCGTGTTTCTGTGCTGTGGAAATCGTTTACTTTTCACTGCTAGTTATTTTCATGATTTGATTATTTTTTCGCATGGTTCGTAAAAAACAACAAAAAGTCAATGGCACTCCATGCCGTAAACAGCAGCAGAAAAATCACTGCAATAAAATCTCGCGATTTTGACTGACTCGCGAACTCTACGTAAAGCGGTTTACAGCGGTACAACTGTAGCAAAGATCACAGATTGACAGGAAGTGGAGATAGTAGCAACGTGCTTCCCGGCACACGCACATCGACCGTTGCCGTTCTCGCGTAAACTTCACAGAAACTTTGACCTGAGTACTCTCTCGGTGCCTAGCAACAGAGAAATGTCCCTAAACGCCGGTTCGCATGTATATAGGTCTCTCCAAAATGACGGTTTCTGGGTTTCAAACAGATGACGAGTGGTACAATGATTGGTGGTGAAGTACAGCGAATGGTACACTGGCGGCTAATTAGGACGTGAGACCATTATCGCCATCTTATTGCACACTACGTGGACCTCGCCAAGTTGTACCCTTTTAGCGTCGGGTTAATAACAATCCTTCGCAACATTAACAATACAACCCATCATTAGGAAACACGGACACATACATCGGTCATGCCTCTATATTGTTACGTTTCCACCAACCCACTTCTGCTTTCAAACGGGCTTGTTTCAGTCAGTACGCATTTTGCGCTTTTCTAACGTCGTCGACCTTCCAATTACCAACAAAAACTGGTAATTTCGAAGTGTAACCTCTTAACATTAATGTGCGTCTACGGTTACATTCTACATGAGAACGAAATCTCTATCTTTCTCCTTCAAAGTAGTGTGGTTACTATGACTAATAACAATGAGTGTCCCATATTGCGACATCCGGGTAATTAAACTGAGTGTGTTACGTGTGATATATGGATTTGAAAACGAAATATACGTGTTTTACATTACTCTGTTATACTGTGCATCTGTCGGTGCTCACCTCTCTTTAATCAATACGTATATATATATATCGTTTCGAAGATGGTTTCCATGGTTACGTACTAGGCCACATCACGGTATCTTGCGCATCGTTTTTTTTACTAACTAGTTCAGAAAGCATTTTCGTGACATCGTAACAGTACTCCTATAAATTGGTTGCGGGGGAAATTCTGTCTCCTTTTTAATCCGCCATTGGGAACTGAGGCCTGGACGGTGGGTGCCCGGGGCGTTATTTTGTTCTTGCTATTAGTTTGATAGCTACCGCGTCCTATAACGAATATTAGCTCTGGTCACGTGATTGGAATGAGAACGTTGCTTATTTTCGTTTGACGTTTTGAGAGACGGATTAGACGGACTCGTTGTGTAAATGACAGCGCGTTAATTTCCCTTGTCAACACAGTTGTTGGTCTTTCCCGCAACACCCACCTTCCTGGGGTCAATCTAAAATGTCATCACATTTCGGTAATTCTGTAAATGCTCAATATTAGCCGGATGACGTCTGAAGAAAAGGTTATTTATTAATTGTCCTCTAGATCCTTGATGACGTTGCTGCGCAACCAAATTATGCAAATCACATCCTGCGTTGTTTCTACGATGCCGCAGTTCTATTCCGAATCATATACCATGTCTCACTAAAACAACTGTTCTTACAAACATCTAATCGTGATCTGAGTTTTTGGACACCAAAGCAGGGCACTAGATGATCATAGACGTGATCCGGGGGAATTGTGTCCACTAATAAGTCTATGATTTTAATCTACAACCTACAATAAACCAAACGCTGCGCATATGAGTTCAATGACTTTGGGTTTGATTGTTATAACTATTGGGGTTAGACATATTTGTTTATAAATCTATTTTCTGACATATTCCATGTAAGATTATTTCTCTGTGCATATTTTTTGTTTTCAAATTTATCCCCTGCGAAGTGTTTGCAATCAGTGCTAATATCATTGTTAGCGGATATAAACATGAAACTACAGAAAGTTGAAAAGATTCCACAGGTGGTGAACTGTCTGTCTTAGTGTCACAGCCGCACTGGGTTACCCAGTATCATTCCGCCATTGCCAAACATCGTCCTTTCTGCTTGTTCCTAACTATTAACGTTTATCAAAATCTTGTTCCTGAAAAATGTAAAAAAAAAAAATACACAAATATTCGCTACCATCGCTTTCGAGTGTGTCGCTTTACTCGAGTTGACCGGAGCGCTGCGTGCATTACCTTCGATCGCAGTCAGGTTTCGCCCGAGCCCTTTTCCCGTATGCAACGACTTACATGATGCACGAGACTCAGGATCAAGAGAAATATTAAGGCATGCACACAACCACAGTGACGAATCCGACTTTGAGCATAAGAGTATATCTATTGAAATTCATCGATCTATATCGAGTTCGAATAAATCCGACCAGCAAGTGTAAAAAATCAATAAATTTGTATACATGTTTTAACCGATATTTGGAATCGTGATGACAACTGCGCTAACCTATGATCGGTACGTTTCGGTAACTTCCGATAGCGTTCGGTAGCTCTGATAGGATCTGACCTCGGTGTTCAATTCAACACGGGGTGTTAAACTTTGGAACAAAGTCACCAATATCCTGGTCAGACTAGATTTGATGAAACCAGTGTGTGTCATGTTACATTTTGATTGAAAGATGTCGCGTATATTCTCATGCGTGGAATTTGGTTTAACATTAAATAGGTGCACTTGCAATAAAAAGACAAAGAAGAAAAAAACATTCACAGTGACTAACCCAAACATAATTTTCATATGACCCTACAATCAGTAAGTACTGTTTCAATTCATGCGTTGATTGCCCATCCCATGTTGGCCGGGGAAAACATCCCATAGGCGCTGTTAAACATTCTTTCTCTTTTGCCACATTTCAAACTTAAAGCGCGGTGGTCGTCGCATGGCGCGTGTTCGAATGTATTTTACACGCGTTGTATACGTCGCTATGAGTCCCATATCGAACAGGACGCGGCGCGACGACTGCCGCCATTTAAAATTCAGGTAAAATATCATAATTTTTCCAACACAAAAAAGTCGATCGAGCTTTCGCTGAAAAAATAACGTGGGTGTTATGAAATCGCTGATTAGGAAACAACACCCCTGAAACAACAATTGTTTATGGAAAACCAAAACTGGGCAATAATCGAGACAGACAGACAAACATTTGTATCACCAAACTGATGAAGCGTGCCAGTGTACGAACACGTTATTACAGTCAGACACATGTCCATTTCAGTTGAATTGAATAAAATTCAATCGTGCACTCAACAGGCGTTAATGGGAAAACACACAAACAAATGGAACAAGGTGGGCAGCGTAGGCGAGAGCTACTTTTTCGCTGTCCATGTTAATCTTTATATTTCAAAATAGGAATTTCGGAACTACGTCACGGAAGTGTATGTTTCTTTGTTGCAATTAGACAGTAAAGGTCATCTCATTTTTCATACTACTAAGAACTAAGATTGCCCATTGTTAATCAAATCGATACTTTGTGTCTTATTTAACTTCGTCTTTTCGTGGAAGTGGGATAATTTTAACGTTTTTTGTTGCCAATCGGAGCGCATTATCGTTCTTAATGGTTGGATTTAGAATCGTTACGTTTGCGGGGGAGGCACTCGTTTCTATGCACTGTACGTCAAAAATCGTAATTTTTTATAATCATTTTCGTAACTTTTCCGTTGCGGCTCTGAAAGTAACATGCTGTTTTCCTGACAAGTACATTCTAATTGGTTAAATTAGACCACATGACATAAGCCGGTTCATTCAAGATGGTAGTTTGGTCATCATTTACTCTCTCAAACAAGTATGCCTTAGATTTTCGAATTTATGACTTGAAGCTCTCGGCTTGTTGCCTACCGTGTGTACTACATTGTAAATTATTTGCGTGTATCATTTTGCCT